CATTTGATGGCTAATCCTATAAGACTTGGGGATAGATTAAAGACACATTAAACATTTTAATTGTTCTGATTATTAAAGTCATTAAAGTGAGGACATCCCCTTCCTCTTCTTTAAAACATGGCGGTTAAAGAGGAGCTCTTTAAGGTCTCTTCAACAACCAAAACTGTGTAAAATCCTGCTGTCACCTCACTCTCGAGTGTCAAACCATTCTCATGCCTCTCATGCACACCCCCTCACGTGGGTGCAGCAACGTAGAGTGCGGTGACGCGCCTGCCAAGGCCTTTCCGGGCAGTCAAGAACACAGACTTTGGGCAGGCAGACCTGGGCCAGCTCCCCTCACTGGCTGCAGCAAGTTAACAAACCTCTCCACGCACAGTTTTCTCAACTGTAAGACACAACAACAATACCAAACCTTCAGCACTGCTGGGAGAATTAGATGATCGAATTCTGGTGAGACTTGGCACTTGCACACGCTCGAGAAGTGCTGGCTGCTAATACCATCTGCTGTCCAGGTTGGTTCACTCGCTAGCCAGTGTCGGCTCAAGCAAAACACTTTATCAATCAATAGGATAAAAATGTTGAGAACGCTCTGTAGAATTTACGGGTTTTCCATTATAAACAACTCTCAATTATGCATGGGTTGATTATCAACATCATTGGTTATTTGCAAGAAAATTCTGAATTGTCACAGTCATCTACCCATCTTAATTAAATGACACATTTAATTTAATCATTTGATGTTTTCCATGAGAAGGCAGAAGAGAAGGCGTTTTAAGCCAAAATATTCTTAGAGAAGATATGAGACTACTGTTTTTACACAGAGGTAATCTATACCTTAAAATGATGCTGTCTCTTCCCGGTATTGAATGGGAGGAAGGAGACGGAGGAAGGAAGCAGAGAGTCCGAGAGGTTGAGGGAGCGTGATGAATCAGGAGGATCTGGCAGAGCTAGAAGGTCCACGCAGGTCAGCGGGGCTGCCAAAGCCCAGGCTCTCTGTGGGCCCGCACGAGCCTATTTATCCACAGATGGTGATGTCATCAATTATTGGGTGAAATTCCACTGTTCCTTTCCAGATTATATTTGAGTAAGAGTATAATAAAATATAAAAACATATTCCCAAGTTGGACAGATGGATTTTGGTTTACCCTTCTATTTAAGATTACAGGCACAACTGTCCAATTCCACTAACAAAAACAAGATGTAGTTATTTCTTCACAATGATCTTTTCTCCAAAAAACATTTAAAATATCAAGAGGAATTTTAATTAAAATAATCCTGTACACTCATCTAAACCCCAAAGATCAACAGTTTGAAATAAATTAAGTCATGCAATAGATACACTGTGATGCACGGAAACAAATATTTTAACAAAAATTTTAAACTGCCCTAAAATGTACTAACTTAGGTTTATCACTGCTAAAACTATTATGGCTATGTTTGCAACTGGTCAACGTAATTGCTCTTAATGTGTCTTTTATAAAAAGATAGTGTGGCTCTATTTTAAATAAGTGACAGACCACACTCCTAACGCTAAGGTGTGACTGCCCACAAAGGGGAACTAAAAGCTCATGAATGAATCACCATTCTTTGGATTATCGTCACTAGTAGAAAAATGATCTGGCCTTCTGACGTGTCACTCACCGCCTTGCATACATTATTTCACTTATCCCATTTTTTAAAAAATTGTATTTATTTATTATTTTTAGAGACAGGGCCTCACTCTATCGCCCAGTGGCATGATCATAGCTTACTACACCCTTGAACTCCTGAGCTCAAGCAATCTTCCTGCCTCAGCCTCCCAAGTAGCTAGGACTACAGATTTGTGCCACCACACCCAGCTAATTATTTTATTTTATTTTTTATAGAGATGGGATGTCACTATGTTGCCTGGGCTGGTTTCCAACTCCTGGGCTCAAGCGATCCCCTGCCTTGGCCTCCCAAAGTGTCTGAATTACAGGCCTGAGCCACTGCGCCCAGCCCCATCCCATCTTTAACTCGATATAGGAAAGTGCAGTGGTAAGGACCATAAATTATAGCATCTGACAGCCAGGGCTGAAATTCTGGCTCCCGTTCAATCATTTACTAGCTGTGTGATCTTGGACAAGTCTATTTATCTCTCTACACCTCAGATTCTCATCTTAAAGTGACAATAATTACAGTATCTACCTTAGAGGGCTGTAGAAGGAATTAAACGCATACAGACTGCTTATTAGCATGGTGTTTAGCAATGGTGGTTACTCAATGTTAACTATCGCTGCTTTGCTGTTTTGAGTGTTGTTATCATTATCGCTGCTTTAAAGGTGAAATATTTAAGGATTAAAGAAGCTAAAACACTTGTCCTAGACCTTATTCCAGGTCTGCTGGATTCCAAAGCCAAAGTCCCTTCCACCTGCGATGCAAATTCCTGTTTAATTAATGATATCTTTATTGGTTGTTGGTATTGGTAAATGTAGATATGGCTGGTAAAAACTTTATAAGCAGGCAAAATAAACGTGGGATTTCTTTTTAAATTGGAAAAAAAAAAAAAACCGCTCCTGGCTTGCTGATCTGGGTCAATGTCTGTAAGAGTTGCTCAGGATGACACGAAGGGAGGACGAAATTGTGGCCTTCATTTCTTTGACAGCAGATATTTTCTTGTGGCAGCTTAGATGTGCCTCATTTTTATTTCTACTTGTTGCCTTATTTCTCTGGATACCCAAGAAAATTCTTGGACCATCCGTAACCCGATTTCAGGTATACATTTGCTTACTCATATGGCTTGATACTGCAGGGATTAAGAGGGGTTGAAAAAAGACAAATCTCATCGTTTATGTTGATATCCCAATTTCTACTCCTTGGCAATGGCATTGCCATGGGCCTGTTTCTTTCCTGTTAACAACAGCTGACTCACCCACACTGACGTAGGTTAGCTAGCATGGTCCAATGAAGCAGTGAACTCTAGGTTTCGTTACATTTTATAGGTTGATCCAACATGAACCACCACCATGTCCATGTGTGAGCATTTACATATGTGTCGGTTACAGTCCCAAGCACGTCTTGCTAGTATGGTATCTCATGTAATCCTCATAGAAGCAATTTGCCCAATTTCACGAAAGTCAGGATTTGAACTTGGGTCTAACTCTATAGACGATATTATTTATTATTTTTGAAGGTCTTATAACTGACTTTTGTAATTTTTTATCTTCTGTCACTTCTCTGATCCATAACTCATCAGAACTGATATGAGGACTTGTATTCTTCTGCCAGGTGAAATCTGTGCTACTAGTAACTGAGCCTTTGCCTCCCATCAAGCTAGTCTGAGGAACTTTTCTTTCCCAAAGCCAGGCCGATGCTGAGCAAAGGCATGGACCTCATCTGGTGGGCTTTGCTCAAGTTCACGGAGGCTGCTGAAACAACTCCACTGGCTTTCCGAAGCGAAGATGACAATGAAGCAACAGTACCCTGTTGGATTCACTGAGGACTCAGCTGCCAAGTTGCTGGGTACGTGATGGTAGATGACTAATCGCTGTCAGGCAACGTCTCTTAACAATAAACATCTCAACACGCGAAGTCTCTGCGATGTAAGTGACCTGGCTCTTGCTGGTTGTGTGATCTTAATCTTGGGCAAGGCACTCTCTCAGGCTCATTTTCTCGTCCATAAATGTTGATGATAATACCCACCAGACCTACGTCACAGTTGTGTTAGGGGAAGAAAATAAGGCGTGTGGATATGCTTTAAAACCTGACAAGTGCTGTATAAAAATAACATAATAATATAATGATGAAATGATTTTTAAGTGGAAATAAGAGCTGGATTTCTATGTCTCGTTAACTTGTCAATGTTCAGTTATGGATAACCAGAATTTTCATTCTATTTCCTCATATTTTAGAATACCCAAGGGGGACAAAGAGAGAATAGAGTTAGGCAGAAAAATGTGAGAGCTGACGTCACTGCTGTCAGCTAAATGAATTTTCCAGGTAAGTTTGAAGTAAAAAACGCTGCAAAATTATTAGTAATACTATCTGCTGTAGGTCAAATACATCATATTTTATTGTGTGGGAAAAATTACTGAGTATTATGTTGTAGCCAAGCTCAAAACAAAGAGGGTAGCTTCTAGAGAGCAGGGAAAGGACTCTAAGGTGCTCTAGGGATGGAACCACCAACAGATACTTTTTTAGACAGTTTCAAAGAAATTTCAAATCAACCAGTCAGCGTCCATAACCTGGAGAACCACGGACTGAAAAGCAAACCACGAAAGCAGAGGTCACACCCCCTGCCCAGGACTGAGGTCCCGGTTCTGACAACACTGCGGAGGGGTCTCCACCAGCTCTCGGGCTGTACCCTATGAAGTCTGACCGACCTACGTGGGAAAACATTCCTGCTACGTGGAATCACTTTCTGCCCACCAACCAGGCTGCCAGGTGAGCCTAGATACTCAGAAATGTGTCCTAATCTTATAAAAGCAGAAAACGGAAGGAATAAGAGATGCTCATGAAAGCTCTGTAGACAGCCACAATCCTAAATGCACGCCAAAATGGCTCACCGAAAAGAAAACCCAGACGGCAGTCAAGCCCTTCCACCGGCCTTGCCATCTCTTAAAATGGTGCTGTGGTTTTTGCACTTACCGAAATGGATGCTTTCTGTTTCGGGCACCTAATATTTGGGTACAAAATATTATGTAGCAGACTTGATAATTAGCAAAAAATATTATTCGCAGTTTAAGATCACAGATTTTTAAAAACTGCCAGAGATTAGTATGGTTAATAGAGAGTTTATAGTCTGTGATTAGATTCCTCTTAGGCTATGAATTTTTAACATCTTCTAGTGTACACAGGGCTTGATTACAAGTTTATGGGTTTCAGAATTAAAATCAAATTCTGTAACCTCATTACCAACATATTTTCATTTAAAAGCGATGGGCGGTTTACATCCCAGATACAGATAGAATTGCTGGCTTTGTTTACCTGCATTTTCCGCTAGGACTTTGTTCAGAGAGTGCCGAAAATGAGAAACTGCTTACTTTTTCATGCTTGTGTTTCTCCTTTTCTTTTTCTCTCTTCTCTCTTTCTCTTTTCTCTTTCTCCCGCTCCTTCTCTTTCTTTTCCTTTTCCTTCTCCTTTTCTTTCTTTTTCTTCTTCTCCTTTTTGTCTTTCTTCCTTTCCTTCTCCTTGGGTTTCTCTTTCTCCTCAAACAGTTTTTCTGGAAGCATGGGCGCCAAAGAGGGCAGCATGGCGGGGACCCTGGCGGCGGCGGCCGGGCTGAACAGGGGCAGGGCCATTTCTTTCGGGGGCAACACCAGGGGGGCTGGCGGCGCTTTCATCTTCTCCTCTCTCCCTTTCTCTTTAACTTTTTCTTTTTCTCTTTTCTCTTTATCTTTCTTGCCCCGTTCCCTGTCTCTTTTCTTATCTTTATGCTTCTCCTTCTCCTTCCTCACAATTCCGTCTTTCAATCTCACTTTTGGGTCCACATCTTCAAATTCTTTTATTTTAAACTTGTAGGGATCGGAATCCTCATCTTTAAGGAACTCCTTCCAGGGGTACTTTGCTTCCTTGCCCGCTTCCTTTTCCTTCTCTTTCGCTTTGTCCTTCTCTCTGCTTTTCTCCTTGTTTCTGTCCTTGTCCCGCTCCCTGTCTCTCTGCTTTTCCTTCTTTCTCATCTTCGTCTTCAGCTCCTTCTTCAACTTCCTCTTCACCTCCCCGGAGGAGGGCGGCTTGCTCTTCTCCTCGTGCGCCCTGGGCGGAGGCTCGGGGGTGGGAGGGGACGCGGAGGGCGAGGAGCCGTAGGCGAGGTGGGGCGGCGCGCCCAGCTTCGCCTTGCGGACGACCTCGTCGATGGAGGCGTCCATGGTCCACGAGTGGTCGGAGCCGGAGGCGCCGCCCGGCGGGGGCAGGGGCGCGGGGCCCGACTTGGCGACGCTGTTGGCGGAGGCGGGCGCCTTCGGAGGGGCGCACTCCGACCCTGAAATCCGCTTGGGGCTGGTGAACATGTCCCCTTCGGATTCCGACCCGGAAGAGAACTCGAAGGGGTCGGGCTCTCGCTCGGCGCAGGCTCGGGCGATCACGGCGTCGATGGAGTCGTCGATGGTCTTGTCCGCCACCGCAGCCCTTTTCGGCTGGCTCTCGCCGCTCGGCTTCGCGGCGTCCGCGGGCGGCGGCGCGGCTTTCGCGGGGACCGGCTCTCTACCGCCCTTCTCGCTGCCCGCGGCGGAAGGAGTCCTGTTTGGCGTTTCCGGTCTGGCGGGGACGGGGGGCACCGGAGTCATAGCCTTGGGGCTCTTGGGGCTCTTGGGGCTCTTGGAACGCCCTGGCGACTTCTTCTCCTTGGATGCAGTTTTTGGTGACCGGATAGGACTTCCGACCATTGCTGGTGGCTGGGTGGTTTTAGGCGACTTCGTCTTCTGTCCTGGAGAACCGGCTTTCGTCTTTGTCTTCGGCGCGAACGCCTTGGCTTCTAAGGGCTTTGCGCCGGGCATCTGCGCCTTCGCCACGGGAGCCAACGTGGGCGGCTCCGGGGAGGCGGGGGCGAGCTCCGCGCCGTCCTGCACGTGCACGGGCGACAGCATGGGCGGAACCTTCTGCGTGTTTATGGAGCTGAGGGGCTCCCGGGCCTCCAGCAGCACCACGTCTGCGCTGTCCCCTTTCGCGCTCATCAGCCGCGGCCGCTTCATGACGGGCATTTCTTCAGCTTCGGGACTGTCCAGCGGTCTCTTACCCAGGAAATTCTCATCGTTAATAATTTCCTCCTCCTCCAGTTCGTCGTCTTCTTCCAGGGGCACCTGCATGGCTTCTGCTGAGGTGCCCCCGTCGGTGGGCACCTGCTCCTCTTCTTCCTCTGGTAAAGGAAGAGAAAAGAAGCGTTATTGCCTGTAACAAAACGGAACAAGTAAAAACAATACTTCCAGGAAAGAAGGGAAATTATTTGCAGGATTTAGAGAGCAAAGCAGTAAGTTTCCGTGGATCTTCCAAACTGGTGCGCCATCATTCTCCTAGGAGTGGCCACCAGTGGCGGCAGGTGTGCAAACTGATATTGTCCTTTCCAGCCGTCTGGCCCTGACTTTAGGGTCTGGAGTTTGCTATGCATTTCCTGTTTGTCTTCCCCTGTTTCCCTACTTGGTTCTTTTCCTATGTGAGTAGACAGTGTCTTTCTCTTTCCATCTCCCCTCACGTACATACACACACACCCCGCCTCTGAAAATTAAGAGATGGGTTACTATATGACTACTACCCTCAGAAATGACAGAAAGGCAAACTTGTTTAGGATGTTTATGACAAATTTCAATTCTCTGGACACATTTCACATACTGCTTATGTCTTCTACTTTGCTTGTTTGCTGTGAGCAACTTGCAGAGGCAGTACAGTACAACGGAGCACATTTGGCTTAGCATTCAAAACAGTGGCGTTTCAGCTAGAGTCCTGGCACTTCAGAGCCACAGGCCGCAGGGAATCTCTTAACCTCTTTGAGCCTGTTTCCTGACCTTTCAAAAGGAGTTAATGTTACTTGCCTGCCTCCGTGGCTGAGTTGTTGTAAGATCAGATTATTTCTTCCCACACATATTCACATATAGTGCACAGTGATAAAGGCTGAAGGAGCTACTGGAATAAATCAGAAATAAATCATAACCTAAAAGAGCTCACAGTTTAGTGGGGGAATAATGGATGTGTCTAACCCATAGAGAGTGATTAGTGCCACAGACAGATAAAGTGCTGCAGCAGGCCAGAGGAGAGACCGCAAGGTCAAGCAGGCAGGGGAGGCTGGAGTAATTATGTGGTGTTTGGGAATCTTGGAGACTGGGAGTGGTCAAGTCCAGGAGGAAGGGTCAGATGACAAAGAGATGGAGGTGGAATACAGGAAGTGCTTAAGAACCAGAAAATAATTTGTCTGGAAAGTAGGGTGCAGGATGGGGAGCAGTAGAAAGTAAGTTTAGTAAAATTGCATCCAGATCCTAGAATTCCACAAAAAGAAACATGATCTTTATTCCAAGGGTAGTTTGGGTCTAGTGAAGGCTTTGGACAACAGAGGAAGATGACTGGGGTATGTGCCGGGAAAGCCACCCTGGCAGGGATGTACAGGAAGGATGGGGATGGAAGTAATGTATTAGACTCCTAGGGAGAGGGGGCAAGTGAGGGGTTTCTGGAATGATGAAGGCCAAGAGGCGACATGCGCTGGACTAGAATAGTGGTACCGAACGAACGAGAGAGATAAGTAGTATTCTGGAGTTGGGCAGGTAGCAGCAGATAAGTGATCGGGTGTAGGAGTTGAGGAAGGACTCGAACAGTTTCAAGGCTCTGAGCCCTGGTCAATGATTAGCGTAGTGATCAACAGAAACAGGAGATAAGGAAATAGAGGGCAATGGCTATTAGCTCAATCCTGAGACACAGAACTGTATGAACATTTAGTCAGTGACGCCAACTGGGCAGCAGTATTTTGAAACTGGAGGAAAGGACTCTTCTGTACATATGTGATAAACAAAAATTGGAGGAAAAAACACTTCAAGGAAAACTGATTATTATCTGTGAGATTTTAAACAAGTTCTTCAACTCCTTAGTGCCCTACTAACCCTAACCCTTGATCTAGAAGATGGGGACATTAGCATCAGTTACCTTGACAGCACTGTGAAAACTGTTAATTGGAGGTAAATATTCAAACTTCTGAATAATAATACTGGTCAGTAACAGAGATATACGTTGTAAAGTTAACCTTACAACCCTTTTGAGAAGATTATAAAAAGCAAACAACAATTCTCCTCCCCATAATCTCTGTAAAACCATACAGCAACAGCACAAGTGCAGAGTTAGCATCTATAGGTCAAATGGATGTCACCTCAGCCGTCTGCCCTAATAACTCTGTCCTCCAGTGAAAGCAGCTGAGAGCTGCTGGGTAGACTTTTTAAGGATAATGGAGATTTAAGTAAGGGAAGATAGTTCTGGATAAGTATTAATGCTCATGTTGCTAAAGGAATAGTAAGGAATTATTCACAAAACCAGAGTCGTCTTTTTCGCTTGTGCTAAAATTTGGCTAAAGTTAACAGTGATATGACATTTGATTTATTTTTCTCTTGTGTGAGAATTTATTCAAAAGTATATGTTATGATTAATAGCATTGTCACTCATCAAAGAATAACATAAATTAAGATATAACCTCTATACTTCTAGGAGGAAAAAAAAGACACTAACAACAACAAAGGCATGAAGAATCACACTTAAACCAGTGTGGAAATACTTATTTCCAAAAAAATGTTAACTTACTGGTAAAGATTCACATCCACTATTAACAACTCTATTTTTCTTTCATATTTTTCAAATAGATTCACTAAAATGTGAATGTTATTATTCAACCAAAGCAAAAACTGCCATAGTAAAAAGGAACTTTTCACTCTGCCAAATGTTTTGCATGTACAGTACGCTTTCTCACCAGTCAAAAAAGGAAACGACATGAAATAGTATGAATGAGAGCGCAAACTCATCTGCACAGTTAGAAATACAATTTAAAGCAGACATTTAATCGGCAGCAGGGCATCTTATCATAAAGTACGGAAAAATAGGGAGACAAAGATGCTCTCTAAGGTAACTTCTCATTTAAATAATCAATGGTTCCAAGTCAACATTTGATTATAAAATTATTTTTTAACTTGTTAATTTGAAATAATTTGAAATACACTACAAAGAACTCATGAATACTCTTCACCTAGATTAACATTTGCCTTCCGTAATCATATAATAATTTTATAATTATTATACATAATTACATAATCATATTATAATTTGGGGGGAACTATTTGAAAATAAGTAGAGGATATCACGCTCCTTTACCCTACATGCATCAGAGTGCGACTGCAGAACAACTGTCAAATTCTTTTTTAATCACGTAAAACAAACAACGTGTCCATATTAATGTCTACCTTTCAAAAACTTCACAAATGTTGATGGGGGCAGGACACTACAAACTCCATTCCAATTTTCCTTCTTTGATAATACAAATAAATAATCCATACTTCCTACATTTTCCTGAGGAATAATGAGAAAAACATGCTTTTTTACCAAACTTCTCGAACAAAAACAAAACAAGGCAATAAGGTCTGAACATACCAAAAGGATTTGGGGAGGTTAATTCTAAGCTACTATAAATATTGACTTAGAACAAAATATCTTTTTAACTAGAATAGTAAATGCCTTTAAAGAAACACTATAATCTAAAAAGCTCATAGACATTAGGGAAAAAGAGGAAATTGTTTGCACATGGCACGAAAGCTTTTTATCTCATTAACTACACAGATGCATGCAACTTTAAAATTCAGTGGCATGTTCTCAAATGAAGCAGAAAATATACTTGTATTTTTAAGCTTTAAATAAAGGGACAATAAAATGCTATCTGTATATATTTCACCAAAATTTTAATGTATTTAAAGCTAGATTTCTCATAATTGTTTAAAAATATACATACACAAACTAATTCCTACAATGATGATGCAAATTCTATACTATTTTCTTGAACTCCTGGCCTTAAGTGATCCTCCTGCCTCAACCTTCCGAAGTAGTAGGATTACAGGCAAGAGCCGCCGTGCCTGGCCTATTTTCTGACCAGTCTATGCGTCCTACTGTTTTTATAATAGATTCCCCTTTTATTAACAAGTATGAAGGATCCTTTAAAATGCATATTTTTTTTTCAAAAAAATATCTTTCTATTTGTCTGAATATCAGGTATATTTATTGTAACCAGTTCCTTGAAGTGACTCAATGCTACTAAAACTCGTTCATTCATTCACCTATTACTGAGTGAACTGTGAGTGCCACTACGTTAAGCACTATATCAACTAGGAATATAAAGTCAAATAAGACGTGTGTCCTGACCTTACTCAACCACATTTTGTGGACATCAGTTCAAGTGGTAGGACAGGGATCTGCACAAGGTACACTGTAGCCACATCGAGGGTTACGAGGACAGAGATGGATGGAAGTGGCGACTAGGCAGGGAATTAACTGGACTGAAAGTACACCTGGGATCTGTTCCCAGTGCCACAGTTCAACCTGGCACAGCCCATTTAATCCTCCGAGACCTAAGTTTTCTCATCTGCAAAATAAAAGTACTGACATCTGGCCTCCTACTTCAGGCGCTGAAGATCTTTATGATTAGGGCCTTCTCTCCAGGTAGCTGACCATGGATGTGGGAGGATCTAAAGGGCAGGACAGAGCTATTCCAGTGGGAGATTTATATCTTACTGGCCAACATGCAGCAGTGCCTAAAATTCTGTCTTTGGATAAAGGCCGTATCTTTAAAATGTTGCTGTCAAAATATTTTTAAGACAATGAGGCTAACAAATGAACAACTCTATCCTACTTTTTGAGGTGAGAAGACTGGGAAAATGGATCGTAAGTGAAAGAATCTGATGGCATGTTGAGGATCCAATGGTTTAGAACACAGGGTTGTGCCAGGAGGGTCAGGCTCAGGTGGCTTGCTGTTGTGAGGAGAAGGGGTCTGGGGCAGTGGGAAATGACAGGTAGACAGGCACCAGGTGCGTGGGAAAGAAGGAGGGGCAGTGGCATGAAAAGCAATCGTAACCCACTTCATCATTTTATCTTTTAGTTCTAAATGAGGCTAAAAAAAATCAATTCCGTCTGCATCTCCTTATAAAATATTTCAAAATTATCCTGTCTATAATATAACAGAAATAAAATCCTTAAAACACAATTCAACGTGTTTAGGTGGGTATGTATTTTTAAAATAAACCTATTAAAAAAATGAAATTACTAGCAAAGACGAGGCAATTAGGCAATGACAATTCATACATACAACTAATCAATAACACAATAAATGAATAGTAGAGTGAAGATGAT